CCGACCGACCGGTCTCGTCGTCTCACGAGTACACGATTTCCACCGATAGTCCCTAATTGGGATCGTTTGTCCTTTCCTTTTTTTCCCCCCTACGTTCGACGAAAGTGGAACGTGTCTAATTGTGATACCGATAATATGATCCTGCCGCATCGTTAAACCGCCGGAATAATTCGTTGTCAAGGGGATGCGACCCGGTTCGTTTCTTTGAGTGCATTCTCCGTGTGAATATTTATTGTCTGCATATAGGAGAGGATAAGAGAGGATAAGAGAGGATAGGAGAGGATAGGAGAGGATAGGTAACGTCTTTCGATGGATTTTTTTCTTTTATGGATTTTGGAATACTTTACTTTATTTTCTTTGCTAATATAATTTCAACGTATCTTCCGTTTCAGAAGTTTGGATTTATAGATCAACGTTCTACGAGTGAGCTATAATTTTTGAAATTGAAAAAGTTGAAAATATTATTTGTATATTATTTATATTAAGACGAAGGGAAAGAAGAGAGTGATGAATAATTATCATTCCTGAATGAGATGTAATTCGATATAATTTTATAATATTTCTTATGTAATTTTCTTCGACACATTTTGCTTGTTCGTGCTCGATTGTCGGTACATATCCAACACTACCGTCGCTTGACTACTATATATCCGTGATCGATCGAAACGTTTCTTGTTAATAATTCGTTAACAAAAATGAAAGTTTTTGCAAAGGAAAATATTGAAATTAACTCACTCTTCAGTTTCATATTTTTGGAATATATCCTGTCATGAGTCATCCTGAAAAATTTTCAATATCAACGCGTGTATTTTATTTGCCATTTTAATGATGAATATCGAATACCGATAAGAAGAAGATATTAAACAGCAACGCGAAGCGAAACGAGAAAATCTTAAAGTTCACAGTGTCAAGGGAAACTGGCTGCGTCCTCGAGTGATGGCGGCCACCGTTTTCCAAGTGAACTTAAACCGGGAATAATTCGAGGGATTTAAATTCGACGCGCGTTTCGTCACAATTCTTATTATTATTATACCCTCGAAACAATTCGAGAAACATAATGTTCAGTTTCACACGATATCAACCGTGGTTGCTAATTACTATTACCGCAGAAAAGTCTAATAGTTTGCTCGTCCTACTTTCTCTGGCCAGTTTTCAACTATTCGAGTACAATTTAATATTCTTTCGAAATTTAAACCAGGCCTATGTTGATATCTCGATCACGTTTAAATGATAATTAACGAACGATCGAGCGAGATATTTACATACGAAATGCGAGAACGATTTGTAAATAAACACGTTTAATGATATATATTTTATATGATAACGATTAAATAAGTTTTTATAATGATTCTTTATTCAAGGACATTATCGATATTTAAGAAAAAAAAGTCTTGATAAATAATTTTTTACATCCTCACTTTGCAATTAATCTTTGATCTGTGTTATTTAATCATGCATGAACGTGAGTTCTCACGATTCATTTTTCTCACAGAAAAACAAAATTATATAAAATTAAAATACAGCTCTTTTTAAAATTTATAACTTTCTAAAATTATTTATATACATTACCCCTTACAATATATTTAATATGTAATATTAAATGCACAAAAGTCGTTCACCAAATCCCAAATCCCAAAATATATCTTAATTTCTTAAATTTAATACACTTTAGACATACTTTTCTAAAATTCAAAAAACTCCTACACTAAATTATAGAATCATACACCGTACGTGGAGAAAATATACCCGATAATGTTGTAAAATTTCGAGTATATCAACTCAACACAACGTGAAATATCGATTCGTTTAACCAATCGTTAAAGGACCGTACGTTTCTCTTCGGCAAAGATAATCTCTTCAGATTTGGAATGATTTAAGGTTATCGAGTCGTGGATTCCTTAAAAAAAAAAAAAAAAAAAAAAA